TGACCCATGCCTCCTTAAACTCTCTGAATGTGTCTTGTACTTGGAAACTACTTCAGCTGTGCCAATGGAACATTAAAACCCATGACCAAGGGTCGGTGCAGTGGCTCGACAGGCTAGCCCTCTGCCTGAGAGCGCTAGCATCCCATATGGGCGCCGGTTCGTATCCCGGCTGCTCTACTTCGGATCCAGCTCCCTGCTGTGGCCTGTGCAAGCACCTAGAGCGTTCAGCTTTGGGATCTGCGGCCATTTGGGGAACGAACTGGAGGATGGAAAACCTCTCCCGTTCTCTCTGTAACAATCTGCCTTTCCAATAAAAGTAAACTCTTTTTTAAAGAAATAGCCAGGGAAGAGTGTGTATGGATTTTTTTTTTTTTTAAGCCAAAGTCTTTCCATTTTCCCACACACTTTTCAAAGTAGCAGCACGCGGGGCAGGTTCTAGAATGGCAACACATGTGCCTGTGTGCTTACGTGATTCTGACCCCTTCTGAGCTAACCACATTGGGAGTGCTGGCCTGTTGCACACTGCAGGATTGTATGTTTCCATTTTTGCCACAGGACAGCTCCTAGCTAAAATACGACAGGGATTTAGTCCAAAGCTCAGTTGAAACAGGTTTATGCATTGCAAGGAAGTTATCCGCTGGAACCAGACCCTGCAGGATCCTCTTGGATTTGTTTAACCATAAACACCTTGGCTAGCAACGCTAGGGGACAGGTGTGCGTCCTTTAGGTGCAAATTTGCCTTTGCTTTCTGGAGTTAGGGCTTCAGGCCCTCACCCAAGGGGATTGTTCAGATATCCTGAGGCCGTCCTTGGAGGAGTAATCAGAGCTCAGGCTTACATCCGGTCTCTACCGTCAGATGCTGGAATTCCTCGGGAGGGACATTAAGAGGGAAAGAGTAAACAAATTCAAGAAAACATTGTGAACCAGGGGCAGGGAGAGTTTAATCGTGAGCTCTTGGGATTGAAGTTGGGCCCTCAACCTGAAGTGGGCCTGGTGTTATGTCTTCCTGTGGCTCAGCCAGATCCCCTGTGAGCCCAGGAGCTGGAGACTGGGCGCGAGGCCAGCTCTGCTCGGACATGGATGAGCTGGGAGTCGGCCACTGCCCCAGGATCCTACCCAGCCAGAGGAGAGCTTCCCAATGTGGTCAGAGTGTCCAGTGCCCACACTTGGTGAAGGGGTCCTGAATGGAGCACCCCACCCAGCACAGGGACTTTCGTCCTCATTTTGGCCCGCAGCTGGAAACTGAAGCTTCGAGATCTATCTGTTGCAAGTCAGAGGTTTTTGCTTAAAGCCCACACACCCATTTCCAGAAGCGTTTCGTGGATATATTCACATTTCTGCTTATCCTTACAGTCATGAATATGGACCAAACTCTTTCCAGCTGCACATCTCGGGGCACAGCTTGTAATGACCAGGTTAGCAGATTGCAAAATTGATTTGATCAGAGTAGGTCCGATCATGTTTCTTTGGCTGTCATGAAAAAGAAGGAAATGAGACAGATCAAAGGACATCTCACACACAAAGAACTTTTCCAGGAAATTCTTTTTTAATTTAAAAAATGTTTGTCTGTTTGAGTCATTTGGGGGTCATTCCCACATCCCTAGCTCGGTGCCTGATAGCCAGCCCCCTAAGCCCAAAGGGCTGCAATGGCCAGAGCCAGGCCGGGCGGCAGCCGAAGGCCTGAACTGCATCTGCATCCCCTGTGCAAGTGATCCGAGCTGCTGTCCCTGGGGAATGCTAGCAGGCAGCTGGATCGGCAGCGCAGCAGCCAGGACACAAGCTTGCATTTAAATGGGATGCCACGATGCTGGCCCCTAAAAGACAAGTTTAATTGGGTACTAAAAAAAATATGTTAAATTCATGCATACTTTTTCTTCTGGAACACACATGTTCCATGCCCCTGGGACATGATCTTCTGGTGGTGTTAAGCATCCACGTGGGAGACTTTCTGGATAAGTTCTTGGGTTAAAACCAAACCTTTGGTGACACTCAGTGAAAACAGAAAAAAACGTAAGAAGAAAGCTCAGCTGGCTTCACAGCTTTTTCTATAATGAGGCAACTTCCCGGGATGTGGTGTTGGAAGTTACCTCACGAACAGTTCTTTCTTAGTAATAACTAGAGAGCGCTTTCATCTCCCACCCCCCCAACTCTTTTTTTTTTGAAGATCTATTCATTTTTATTGGAAAGACAGATTTACAGAGAGGAGAAGCAGAGAGAAAAATCTTTCAGCCGCTTGGTCCACTGCCCAGTCGGCCACAACAACCAGAGTTGAGCCAGGGCTGAGCCAGAACTAAGTCAGAACTGAACCAATCCGAAGCCAGAAGCCAGGAACTTCTTCTAGGTCTCCCATGCAGGTGCAGGGTCCCAAGGCTTTGGGCTGTCCTCGACTGCTTTCCCAGGCCCCAAGCAGGGAGCTGGATGGGAAGTGGAGCAGCTGGGATACAAACTGGCGGCCATATGAGATGCTGATACACGCAAGGTGAGGATTTAGCCACTAGGCCATCTGCCAGACCCTTTCGTCCTCCTTTTAACAAGAAATTTCACGTATTCAATTTGAGAGGCAGATTGACAGATGGAAGGAGGGTTGGAGAAAGAGTGATTAAGAGTGAGAACACACTCCCATTGCTGATCCGCTCCCCAAGTGCCCACAGGGTTAGCCCCAAGTTTTCCATGTGAGTGACAGAGAACGGGAGCCATTCCTGCTGTTTCCCAGGGGCCAGCGCGAGGACTCGAACCCAGGGACTCCACAGAGGGACGCAGGCGTCGTCATCTGTCTTACCTGTTCGAGCCAGCGTCCCCTCAGCTTGATGGATTTCACTTTTATGTTGTGCCATCGGTCAGAAGTGACATAGCCTTGAAATGACTAAGATTGATGTCTAGCTGGAATACACACTGATTGCGTGCAAGCGAGGCTTCCACCTTCCAGGGCTTCTGAGACTTGGTGCGGTGCCTTGCAAAGCCCCTAAGCGCGACGGCAATCTTAATTAGTGCCCAGCTCTTCCACGAAGTAATTAGGAAGGCATTTAATTTACCAGAAGCACGGGGGATCCTTCCCTCCACCGTTACAGAAAAGTGACCTCTCTCCAGTTTCTATTTATGTCAAGTCATTAATGATTAAACTTCCACACTCCGTACAGACAAGAGAAGGGCAGAATGTTAAAAGAGAGACAGAGAGAGAGTGGGAGAGGGTCTTCCATTTGCCCAATCACTCTCGAGATTACTCTCACACTGAGCAAAGCTGGGCCAATCTGAAACCAGGAACCTGAAGCTTCTCCCGGGTCTCCCAAGTGGCTGCAGCGTCAAGAACCGGGGCTTCCTCTGCTGCTCTCTTAGGTCATGATCAGGGAGGTGGAGCACAAGCCAGGATTTGAACCAGGGCCCATAGGGGATGCCAGCACTGCAGGGTGAAGATGAGCCTGACACACCACCTTGCATGCCCCTGTAGACTTTTTATCGGGGGATGGGGAACATAGCCCAAAGCAGCACCCCACAAATAATAGTCTAAGTTAGTAATATCTTTTTGTGTTTAAAAGGAAAAAATATGGGCCATGGTTTTGTTACCTGGGAAATATATATTCATAGGAGAAGTCCGTACTCTGAGAACTGTGCTAAGCCCTGGGAGCCCCCACCGCCGGTTCCCAATGTCTGCATCATTACAAAGCAGGAAAAGCGGTGGCAGGCATGACGTAATCTGCAAGAATAGAATTGAACAGCCCCCTCTTACCTGGGCTCCCACATCCCACAGGTAGGGAGGGTCTCCCAGGTGAGAGGCACCTGCGTGCATCCGGTGCTTGGACCGACAATGCAATCATCCTTTTGGAAAAGCTTTCCCTAAACTCTGTATCCTGCTAGCTTGCTCCCCCTGCAGGCCATTCCCCTGCATTGCAGGCCTTGCTCTGCACTGTCTGTACCTGGAAGGGACACAGGTGAAGTCCTTGGGCCCCTGCACCACTAGGAGACCTAGAAGGGGCTCCTGGCTCGCAGCTTTGCATCCCCTCAGCCCTGATGATGATGTTGAGGACTGTCTATTATTGTTGAGGCAACTGCAAGAATCCAAACATCTACAATCAAAGCATACACATGGGGGAAAAAACAACAAGATCCTTCTGGAACTTGCTAGATAAATCGAAGCACTTTCTGCCTTCAGATTGCTGGGACTCAAGCACTTCCAGATTATTTCTTCACCATCATGGTGCAAGCATTCGGGAATCCGACCCAAAGCCAGGGTCCGAGGCTGCTGGCCCGCAGGAAGGCCAGCCTCTATAAATCCCTTCCTTCACTTCCGGGACGCCCTGACCAGGCATGAGGCCGCAAAGGGAAGTGGGTTGTTGGTTGCGGTTTTTGGCAAGCACTTCCCAGCCCGCGGAGTGGATGGCAGGCAGGAAGCTCTGGCTCCTTACCCAAGCCCTTTCTTATCTCCTGAGAAGAGAGCTACTCCGTCTCTTGCAGAGGACACAAGGGGTTTGCTGTCCACAAGGGGAAGTGCATTTGGCTTTTTTCTCACATGCGAACTGCTTCCCACCCCAGAGGGGGCGGCCTCTGCCACGGCCACTGGGCTCGCCTACGATCAGAACCTCCCTGTCCTCTCTGACTAACTGAAATGGAGTTTGCTCAGCTCCCGTCCGAGGGGGGAGAGGGTTGGGCAGAAGCTGCGAGGGAAGGGCACCGCTCTGCACCTCATGGCGCCTCTCAACCGTCTGGGTTGCCCATATGGGATCCACGCTGGAGCCACATACATCTATCGTGATATGCATGCGCGCACACACATGGTTCTTTTATCAAGCACATCACTGAACTCACCGGTTCCATTCAAGAAAAAAAATAAAGCTTTTCTCAATTGAGTATATTACCACTGCTAAGTCCTTTCGAGAAACCCGTCATTAGACTGCACAAAAACGGGTTTGCACATCAACGAGACGCCATCGCCACCGTGTGGTGAATAGCCTTCATTACACCCACATTGCTACAGTGAGAAAGACCACAGGCTGGATTGTCAATAATTAGAGAATATAGCTTTATTTATAGAACCTTACAAATAAACATTTACAGTCCACATAAGTTATTTTCTTTGCTAGTCTCTTCTCGCAACACCTGAGTTAATTTAAAAATAAAAACACTGTGATGGAATTGCAGAGCTGTGAAGGGAATACGAACAATAAAAAACTACCCTCTTTGTAGAAACAGGACTCGGTCTAAAGCAGGTTCCGGCATGTCATCACCTCCTTGGGACAAGGACATAGGAACGCGGGTCTCGGGCTACTCACGCACAGAGCTCTTCTCTTTCAAACTGAATGAAAACCACCAATGAGAAATTGTCCCCCCACCCCCAAGTCGACGGAAAGCATCAAGACCGGGGGAAGGGGGCGGGACAGAAACAACCTGTGGGGGGGGTTGGGGGTAGGTAGCACAACCCTGCCTCGGCCTCTGGCACATGAGTTGCCCTTGCTCCGCCCGGGGAAAAGGAAGGGTGATGGCAGGGGTGCGCCAAGTCCCCGGGACGCCTCACTGCGCCCTGGACTGCTGCATAGGGATGCTTCAAACGGCAAGTTCAACGCAAAAGTCAAATGGCCACGTTTCTGACTCGCGAGGCAGATCCACCGCCCTTGGCAGCCTCTCGCTTTGAGCTTCTCTCCCCACATCCTAAGCTTGAGCTGGCCTCTGTGCCGGCAATGGGACCATAAAGAGCCTTCCCCCGTCCCCCCCAGGCTGCACGGGAGGCCGGGTCTCGAACTCACGCAGGTGTCCGCAGGACCGGCGAGCAGTCTCCTAGTTCCTCTTGTGTTGCTCCGTTTGCTAAAGCGTCTATCTTTCAGCCCCTACACTACGAACCATCACCTCTAACTTAGTACTCTACTCCAGGACAAAGGGTGCAGGTGTGTGTGGAATGAATGACGGCGCCTACAGGGAATTGCTAAAATCATGAACTTGACACATCAAGGTGAATTAAAGAAAGCGGAATCTTGGAGAATCTTTCTGCATCTTGAGTAATTACTTTCTGCCAGCTCCGGGGCGCACTTGGAGGAAAAAAAAAAAAAAAAGAAAAGAGAGAAAGAGAAAATAATAGTAACAATTCTAACACACACCACGCCAAAAAAGGCTAAAGATTCCGACATGCGAGCGATTGGTTCTTTGGTACGACCGGACCAAAATCCTAGGAGTTAGATTTGGAATCTAGAATTTTGGTCGCCAAAGGTTTTCTCCTTCGTCAGCGTATTCTCAGATCTAGCCACGCGAAGGAAGACCAGCCACTTTTCATCACAGTCGGTCCATGAAAAGAAAACCAAACCAAACCTATGAGCTGGCCCCGGGCAGTCTTCCCCGCTCACACCCCAGAGTACTTCGGCTTAGACGGATGTTATCCCGGAAGAGACAGGCCATCGACACAGCCGCCTGGCACGACCGAGGGCGCACAGCTCAGCTCTTCTGTGTTAGGACAGAAAGCCTCGGGCCTTGGCCGTGAATGGGCACTCCGGCCCAGTGGCGCATCCGAGCCGGTCTTGGAACTACAGCCTCTGGGCTACAATGGTGGGCACCACAGAGAAAGGCTTCAGGAGAGAGCCGAGCTCCCCAAAGTGGCAGAAGAATCGCACATTATCAATATGATAACAATAAGTCAATTCACCTAGTGAACCTGGAGATGGACCCCCCCGCCCCACCCCTACATCCCCCAACCCGGAAGACTGAGACGCGAGGAGAGGATGCATGGCGCCCGAGGCTGCGCCCTGCGGCTGCGCAGAAAAGCCTGTCTGTCCCATTTTCTGGAGAGAATCAGAGAGTCAAGGGCATGACTTGGCTTTGCAGAGTTCGTGGGTGAGGGAGAAAGCGCCACCCCTCCCGCCCCACCCCACAATCCACCAGCAGCCATCATCTCTGCAGGGTTGCGGGGAGGGCGGGCCAAGGTCTTGACTTTGCACTTTATAAAGTCTGCCACTACAGGTACTTTTACGGACGGGATTAGCCAATCCCCCGAGTCCACTCCGAATCAGCAGGCAGAGCGCACACCGCGCATGCCTCATTTGGGTGACACTCTGCCCAGTGCTGAGCTGGCACGCAGTCCGCCCTGGGACGCAGATGTGGGCCGATGTGCTCTGAATGAAATGTGCTTCTAGGAAGGCAGCGAGAGGCATCCCTGGGCAGGGTGGCAGACAAGAGGCTGGGGGGCGGGAGAGGGAACCACAGCTCATGCCTTCTGTCAGTGTGATCTCAAAGGGCGGAGGCTGTGCACCTGCAACTTCAGGTTATGTACCTGGAAGCCGCGTGCCACCAGTAGGGATGACGGCTTCTACCTCCCACATGACCCGGCTGCTCCCCAACCGCCCTCCTCCCGAAGGTGTCGGTTCGGACACCTGCCTTCGCATCAAGAGAGGAGAGGTTAAGGCAAGGGCCCTTCTCGAACCCTCCTACGGAGGCCCCATGAATCCACACAGCTGAATCCATGGGTTCCACCTGGTGGTTCTGGTCAGGTGACAGTGGCCACTGCTGGCTCCACTTTGCACTGCAGGGTGGGCGGGGGGAAGATGATAATCTCTCCAGTGATGGTTCCGAGGGAAAGAAGCCAGGGCACCCATTTTAAAAAGGGGGGTGGGGAGGACGTTCTTGCTGGAAGCTGCACTCAGAGGCTCGAATCTCTGTGAGCAAGGAAGGGCAGAGACAAGGGTGCCAGGTGCTCCCTAGAAACCAGGTCTCAGGTGGGCACACGCCCGAGGAGAGAGCGGTTTTGGAGAACAGTTGACATCCAAACCCCAGCCCAGAGCCTGAGTCGCAGATTTCAAAGGGACGGCTTCCTCGGTGGTGCCTCGCGGGAGCCGGGGCTGGGGCCGGGGCCGGGGCTGCTGAGTCGGGGGCCGCTAGCCGATCTGGATCTGTCCCGAGTACATGGTGAGCAGCAGCATGATGGTGAAGCCCGTGAGGAGACCCAGGTTCTGGATCACGAACGGGATCAGGGCGCTGCCCTTCCTCTCGTCCTCCTGGGCCACCTCGTTCATCTCGGGGAACTGGGGACAGAGAGAGAAACCACAGCTCTCATCCCTCTCTCAGCACATGGGGCGCTGGGCCTGGACGCCCCTCTCCCGGTAGATGCTGATCTGCAAGGATCCCCCAACCCCCACGGGAACGAGTCCGTGTTTGCATAGGACTCGCACACATCCTCCTGGATGCGTTATTTTAGAGAGTTATCGATTTGGAAGGCAGAAGGACAGAAGGAGGGAGACACAGAGCGATCTAGCGGTTCATTCCCCAAATGGCAGCAACAGCCAGGGAAAGCTATTCCAGCAATTCCATCCAGGTCTCCCAAGTGGGTCACAGGGGATCTCCCCTCCCCCAGCATGACCGGAAGCTGTGCTGTGAGACGTGGCACCCGTGGGCATCCCACGCAGCAGTTCAACCCGTCGAGCCATTCCTCACGGCTCCCGTGTACCCAGAACAGCTGCTTGGGGCTGTGAGTGTGGAATGCACAGCTGCTTGGGGCTGGCTGAGGATAAACTGGAGCGGCAGCGAGCGCTCCAAGGCTGCACAGGGACCACTGTGACTCTACCGTGATCCAGGCAAGCACGGAACCGAACAGCATGTGGGCTGGGGCCGGCACTGTGGCAAGCCTCCACCTGCAGCTCCCGTATCCCATGTGGACACAGGTCTGGGTTCCGGCTGCTCCACCTCCCCTCCAGCTCCCTGCCAATGCACCCGGGAGAGCAGCGGAGGACGGCCCATGTGCTTGGGGCCTCTGCAGCCACGGGGGCCACTGAAGCAGTCGAGAGGGAGGCACTGGTTGGAAAGTCTCTCTCTCTCTGTGGGCTAAAGAACACTTGAAAAGACATTTGGCTAACATGCGACTGTCCTCTCTTCGGGAAACGGAGCCACTGCCAGAGGCAGGAGTGGGGCCCGTCCGCCTCGTGGGCCTCACTAGCACCAGATCCTCTGGTCCGATGCTGCTAAGGCAACTGCGGGCAGGACTTCAAACTCAATTCCGCCAGAGCAGGCTAATTTTTAAGCTCATCATTTTGTACGGCCCCACAAACGATGCTATAAATATCCACGTGGCCTTTGCAGGAGGGGAAAAAACACAGAGAAAAAGACTGTCCTTGCCTGTAAGGGGACAGAGGCTGGAAATACAACATGAGCAGCGTTCAAAACCCCACGTTGCTAGGGGCCTATTAAAGCCCCCTTTAAATATGTATATATATAGCTGCCACCATAAGCCAGTAAGTAACGCCACCTCCCCCCAGACTCGCACATGACGTCAGAACCATGAGGCAGACTCCCCCAGAGGAAGCAGAATCCAGAACACGACCAGAGGCTCGGCCTGGTGGCTGGCTCTCTCCTGATCTCAAACAGGATACAGAAAAATCACTCATGCCAACAGCCCAAAGGTTCCTCTGCTGCGGGCATGGCGCCACCGTGTGGTGACACTGAGGTAGTGCACCCTGGTTTTAACGCCTTGGGGCCAGTTATGACAAAGGTTAAGCCACTGCTTGTAATGTCAGCACTTCATATCCAGAGGTCACTTCCCTTCAGATCGGGCTCCCTGTTCATGTGTCCGGAAGGCAGCAGCTTTGGGCCCCTGCACCCGTGCGGGAGACTGGAACGGAGCTCCACGCTCCCAGCTTCAGACCCCAGCTGTGGGAGCCATTTGGGGAGTGAACCAGTGGATAGACCCTCTCTCTCTCTTTCTCTCTCTCTGCAATTCTGCCTTCCAAATGAATACACAGATCCTCAGCGTCAGCTCAGGTTTCCTCCCATCTAACAAGTTTAACGATCCAGCCTGCCCACCTGGCACGGGCCCAGGACTCACCATGTCAGCCAGAGCAATGTACAAGAACATGCCGCCCGCCAGCGCGAAGATCCAGTTGGCAGAGAAATGGCTGCCAGCCAGGATGCCGAAGGCCAGCCCCACGTAGCAGCAGCAGGCCGACAGGAAGTTAAAGAAGAGAGCCTGCTGGAGGCTCATGCCCGCGTTGAGCAGGATGACGAAGTCGCCTGCGGCCAGGAGAACGAAGCAGGAAAAGGGGCATGAGCGAGCAACTTGCAGGGCAAGGCAGAGAGGTTTCGGCTCGGGACAAGCCCGGGGAGGGACAGAGAGAGTCCCAGACTCGGGGGACAAAAGTAAGGGGACCTTCGTCTTCCAGCTCCGGTGCCACCTATGCTTGACCAGCTGTTCAAGCCCTTACCCCACGCCCACCCCCAAGCCTCTAGTCTAGACAATGAATTACTGAAGCCATGATTGATCCCTTCTCCCTGCTCGTCTCTTCTGCTGCATGGGGGACAGGAGGTGGCTCCCTTCCGTGCCACCACCATGACTTAAGGTAATGGCAGCCAGGACAGAGAACTTGTCACCCACATGCAAGGCTGCTGCCTGGCAGAGCCCATCTCGGACCTTGAGTCTTCTTGGGAGCCTCCTCCAGGTCCTGGATTTGATCAGAGGGTGACCGATCTACTGTCACCTGCCAGATTTTTCCCATCTATCACCGGGCAGGGTTAGGATGACCTGGGGCTGGCAGAGAACAGGTGCCTCAATGCCATACGGGAGGCAGCATGAAGCCCAGGGGACCGAACTTGAGTCACAGCTCAGTCCTGGTAAAGAGCGCTGCTGTCCCGTCACGATCACTCCTCCGTTAGCAAGCAGTGGTCAGGTGGCACAGGGTTTAGGCAGTGAGCAGGGCACAGCTGTGGCTGCCGCAGGAGGTGCCCCCGGCACAGACGCTCACCCAGCTCGTGTGGAAACTCCTCACAGAGGATGGCCACGGAAGTGCTGATGCCTTGGAAGACAGACACGGTGAAGGAGGCGCCGATGGCCAGCCCGTCGATGAAATTGTGCAGGCCATCGCTGAGCGTGATCATCCAGGCCAGCGTGCCGATGTCGGAGTAGCGCACGCCTTTCAGCCAGTAGCAGGCGCTCTGCGATGCCTGCAGGTCCTAGGAGCGAATTGGCATGCTGCTGCAGCCCGTGAGAACTGAAGGCAGGCCACGAGCTGCCCGGGCCAGCACCCTGCGAAGGCTCCCCTCGCCCACCCGGCAGGCGCCCACCCAGGGCCACCAACCTGCACGGACAGCGAGCCCACGATGACTTTCTCGTCCACGGCAGAGGCCTTGCCATCCAGCTCGCCGTCTCCGTGCTGGGGGATCATGTGGTCCAAGTCCCCATTCTGCAGCTTCTCCGTGACGCCCTCCTCCTGGTCCTTCCTGGAGGGCAGCGTGTCCGACGTGTAGTGGCTATGCCCGTGGTGGTGCTGGGGGCGCAGCAAGGCTGCTGTTAGAGGGGATGCTCACCAAAGCTGCCCACCTGAGGGTGAGCCTGGGCCAAGTCCAAACACGGGGCGGGGGACAACAGCTGCCCACTATGCAAGCACCGAGAGAAGTGGGGAAAGCAGTTGTGCCCCAAGGGAAAGGAGGCAGACACCAGCTATTTAATAAGACATTGAAGCACCAGCAAGGTGGGCGCTTGCCTGAGTGGTTAGGGTGCCAGTCGAAAGGTGCCCAGTATCCCACATCAGAGGCTGGCTTCAAGCCCCGGCTCCATTCCTGACCCCTGCCCCTTCCTGGTCATGCAGAGCTGGAGGTGGGTGGGAGGAGGAGCTGCAGGAGCTGGGCCGAGTATCTGGACCTTAGCCACCTACATGGAGGTCTGGATGGAGTTTTGCAGGCCTAGCTTCTGCCTATTACAGAAGCAAGCTCTCTCTCTCTCAAACAAATATGTAAATAAAACGGGTGCTGGCATCGTGGTGTATCAAGTTCGGCCTCCACCTGCGATGCCAGCATCCAACATGGGCACAGGTTCGAATCCTGGCTACTCCATTTCCGATCAAGTTCCCTGCTCTTGCGCCAGGGAGAGCAGCGGGGGATGGCACATGTGCCGGGTCCCTGTCACTCCCACGGGAGAGATCAGAGTGCGCTTCTCAGCTCGGGCACAGCCCTTGGCCGTTGCAGCCTCTTGGAGGCGGTGAACAAGCAGATGGAAGATTTCAACTCTGCCTTTCAGAGACAATAAATCTGCAAAAGTATTTGCCACAATCGCTCATTCCAGTGAGGAGCCACTGCTTCCTTTCAGCCCAGTGCGCATGCCTGGTCGGTTTCCTGGAAACTGTCCCACACCAAGCGGTGCAATTCTTTGTGGTCTCCCCTACAGCTGTGATGGCTCCGCCTGACCGAGCCTTCCCCCACGTTAGGGGAACCACTGGGCTAAATCAAATCACTGCGATTTGTATTAAACAAACAACAACAACAACAACAAAAAATGAAGGGAGGAAAAAAAAAAAGCTTGCTTGTCCAGGTCTGGCCCCCTGGCCGGTTCCTGGGGGGTAAATTTATGCTCTGGTCATCTCCCCGCTAAATAAAATGCAATCAACTGCTCTTGAACTTCACAGAGAAGAGTTCATTCATCTGCTGAACTACTCCTCAAATGGCTGCAACGGCCAGAGCTGAGCTGCTACAAAGTCAGGAGCCAGGAGCTTCTTCCAGGTCTCCCACGCAGATGTGCAGGAGCCCAAGAACTTGGTCCACCCTTCGCTGCTTTCTCAGGCAATAAGCAGGGAGCTGGATGGAAAGTGGAGCAGCCGGGACTTGAACCAGCGCCTGTATGGGATGCCGGTGCTGCAGGCAGAGGATCAGAATGCTACGCCACCTCACCGTCCCTCAAATGGAGGGGGTTCCTGACCCACAGGAGGATGTGGCATCGACTCACTGTGTGGGTGGGTCCGTCCCCCCACCACCCGCGTAGCTTTCTAAGGCAGTCCCCTCCTGGGGAGGACTTCCTGCCCGCGCTGGGCCTTACCTCATTCCTCTGTTTCAGCAGCATCTTCAAGATCTTCTCTGTGAAAAAGAAAAGGTAAAAGCCCCCAAACACCACTGCCGACTTAGAGACATAATAATCTTCCAGGGGGTTGAACCCAAAAGCCTGTGGATCCAGGAAAACACAGTGAGCTTTGAGGAAGACAGCAACTCCACCCTAGCTGCCCCGTCCTCGCTCTGTCTCAACTGCCTCCTGGGGTCTAGGAAACGAGAGACACAGGCCCCGGGGTAGCTGCCACCCACCGACCCTTCCCTGTGCACACGGGGACAGAGGGCTAGAGGCTCGCTCTGGCTTCTTCTTGGAGGGCATCCCAGCGGCCTTGGCTGTGGGTGTCTCGGCCCACGGAGGATCAGATCAAGGCTCACTGCTGCTCGGCGCTTTGCGTGTGTGTGTGTGCGTGTGTGTGTGTGTGTGTCTGACACCTGGTGTCCCGGGCTGCTCTGCCCCATAAACACAGAGGCCCCATGCAATTATACTTTCTAAAACGGGAAAGCCGCTCCCCAGCTAAATAGCAGGAATTGCAACATCTTTGTGACCACAGACCTCTGCCTGACCACAAGGCCAAGGCAGCAGACAACGGGACTGCAGGCATCAATTCTGGGTGGGAGTGGGAGGGGGGCTTCTTTGGGCTCTTTGTGAAAGCCTTACTTATCAAGGGGTGGGGAGGGTGCCACAAAACTAACCTGGGGCAGAACCAAAATGAATGCACTGGGAGCGGGACCGAGTGGGAAAACAGCAGAATGCTAGCTGAAGCCCCGTTTTCTCTCCCATCCTCTCGCAAACACATCACGGCTCAAGGCCACGACCATGAGGCCCCAGAGCTGCTCAGAGCGTTTGAGTGCCTGCCCAGCTTCCATTTTAAAGGAGGCCTAATGCGTTCACTGCCTTCTGGGGATGGCTTCTCCAGGGGTGGGGGGATCAAGCTCTAGAGTGGAACCCCACATTCAGGCAGGATCTGGGGAGCGCCTTAGGGGGAAAATGTGGTGCGACAGGCTGCTTGCCCGGCAAAGCCTTGAAGGAGGACGTAGAGGGGACGAGGTCCCAGGGGCACGCCTGTGCAGGTGCACCCCCAAGGGGGCGGGGGGCAATGCTGGCGTGATAAGCCACCAGGGGCTGAACTAAGAGAGCACACAGGGGCATTATGGAGGACAAGTGCTTCTTGTAGGGAAACCTAAGGCAATTATAGCTTTATCCAGGGCTGCTGGCCTGCTAGCTTGCAGTGAGCAGGGGTCCCGGGGAGATGTCCCCGCCCACTTGACACACACCCAGCTGCCTCTGCTCACTGGAAAGGCTCTGCCTTACGAACAGAGTCCTGTGTGTGCCGTATGGGGAAGAGCTTGCCCCTAAACTCCCCCCTGGCCCCTAGGCTCCTGCCTGCGTGTTTTGTATCTCTTTGGGACCCTGCTACAGCTACCCTCGCTCATTCCCCTTTTCAGCCACCAGGTGTTCCCTGCTCCCCAACACTCAGAAGGTTGAGACGGGCCTTATCTTTCTGCTCCTTCATGCTCAAAGGCAGTGGAGCCCTACGGCAGGGAGGGGGTGATCAGGGGCTGGGCTAAGATTTCAGAAGCTGCGGGTGGGGCAAGGTCTGAACCCAGCTCTCCAACCGGAGGTCACGGCCGCCTCTGCTGGCTTCACTTTCCAAAAAGGAAAGCGCCCTGAGGTCCCCCGCTCCGCCTTGCGCGTCGACGGAGGGCCCGCCCCACTGCTGAGACGGCTCCGGCCGGCCATACCTCGGGGATGAGCTGGAAGAGGGCGTTGGAGTAGAGGGTTCCAATCGCCAGAGCTATGAAGTAGAGCAGCAGCCTCTTGTAAAATGTCTTCTTCATGAAGGGCACCACGCTCGCGCCCATGAGCGAGCACAGCGAGATTACGGTCACACACAGGAGACCGTAGCCCCACACTGCAGCAGCCGGGGGTCAGCCCCAGCCCCGCCCGGGACGGGAGAGGGGGACAGAGGGAGGGGCCGCCGCCGCCACCACCACCGTGTTGGGGGAGGAGGATGGGGTGGCGCCAAGGAGAATCAGAAAGAGAGAAAGAAGGAGGGAGGGAGAGAGAAACAGAACAATTGTTAGTGATTCAACTCCAATGCAATTTTTTTCCCCCTCCGATCAGTTCAGAAGAAACCAGAAGGAATTCCAGGTGACCCTGGCGCCCTGTGACTACAGCCCCCTGTCAGGGCCAGCAGCAGGTGGAGGGGAGGCGGTGCCTGCCCACGCAGCACAGAATCAGAAGGAATTCCAGGTGACCCTGGCGCCCTGTGACTACAGCCCCCTGTCAGGGCCAGCAGCAGGTGGAGGGGAGGCGGTGCCTGCCCACGCAGCACAGAATCAGACAAGGCCACAACGAAAGACCTCCCTCAGCACACAGGTGACTGCCTGGGCACCCCCAGGTCCGCCAGCTGTGAGGCCCCTCCCTGGGGGCGGGGCCTCATCCCTGCTAGGCATACCAGTGGCAGGATGGAGGACCTCTCTCAGACCCCCATGTCCCTAAGACTCCATTTCTAAGCCTTCTCAGTGGTCTGAGCTTGGGTTGGCTCCAGGAAGGTGTAGGAACAGGGCTCCAGGGCACAAGGCGAATTTCCTCCCGCACTTCCCGGTAAGTCCCACTCTGGGCGTGAGTCCGGGTCCAGCAGCAAAGGCAGGACCAACTGATCCAGCTGTGGAAGGAGCCGCTCCCTGCCAGCCACAGGGCGAGCAGCACGTGGACCACAGCGGCGGGCTCACCCTTGAGCCCCATGACTAGGCATTGCATGGCAAGTGTCGAGACAGAATGAATACATTTGATTTCAGGAGCTGAAAAAAAATACCCCCCAAGCGAGCACCCCTCCTTCCTCCTACCAGCCCGACCCCCTGCTGTACAGCGCTTGCAAGCTCCCTGTGGCATTCTGAGAAGGCCTTCAGTTGGCTAGCCTGAAGCCATTTCTTCTCTCCTTAGGAAAGCAGAGCCAGCAAGGCCTGGAGCCCCAGTTGCGTTAGCCACTGACTGGCAAGGGCCTGGAGAGCTGTGTCAGGGGCTCCTCGTGGAAGGTGGTTCCCACCTTGGCAGAGCAGGGGCGACCAGGTGCCCGTGCACCAGCGCTCCGCCCCACCTTCCCATGCAGCATTCTAGCTGAGCTCGAGGACAGCTAGGTGGATGTTAACTTGGGTGGTATTTTTCTCGCTCCTCAGAGATAACAATTAAAAATCCCAAATTAAGCCACACTTCCAAACAAAGCCGAGGAAGGGTACACCGGGGAGCCAGTCCTAGCGGGGAACCGTCCAGATGCAAGGCCGAAGGACCCGAGGTCCGAACACACCCCACCCGCTGGCCCGCGGTGCATGCGCACATTGGCTCGTGGACAGCTTGGCAAAGTTTTTTTGAGTTTGGCTCCAGGTGCCACAAAGCCCAGTGGGAATGACTCACTTTATTTTTAGATGTGGCCATGCATAACCTCATTTCCTTCCCTTCATTCCAGATGGATAATGTCCTAGGGCCGCGGCCCAGAGCATTCAGAATGCAGAGCACGCATGCGCCCAAGGCTCTCTTAGGAGCCCCTTAGTAAAACGTGGCTATGGAATGGAGACCGGGAGATGTCCAGCATGCCTTGCACCTGACGTCATTGCCCGAGGAGGCCAGAGGCATCCCCGGTGCCCGGAGCAATGAGAAGAGGTCCCGGAAGTCCAAGGGTAGAGAAGAGGCAGTCCTTGGTGGGTCCCTGACAAAGGCGGCACGGGGTGGGAGGGCAGAAACTGGGCTTGGTCAGGTGGCAATCAGGCGGCGGCGGCGGCGGCGGCGTGGGGGTTGTGTGGAGGGAGCCCCGCCCGGCCGTGGGGGCCGTGGTTCTACCGCACCTCTGGGATGAGCTGGAAGAGCGCGTTAGAGAGCAGAGTTCCGATGGAGAGCGCGATGAAGTAAGTGAGCACGCGACTGAAAAACGCTCGCTCCGTGCACGGCACCACGAGGGCTCCCAGGAGAGAGGCCAGGTTAATCACCGAGACACTGAGGAACCCGAAGCCCCACACTGCGGAGGAACAAGAAGACACGGGCAGGCGGGAGGGCCTCCGTTACCCAGGGAGCTTTCCTAGGCCGTCAGCAGGGAACTGGAGAGGAAGTGGAGCAGCCAGGACTAGAACTGGTGCTCAGATTGGAAGCTGACACCACAGGCAGGGGCTTAATCCACTGCGCTATGGTTCCAGCTCCATGGTAGTTTACCTGTGTGGCTTAATAAAACAGGAAAAGAGAAACAGACCAAAACAACAAACAACCAAAAAGGCATCCAGATGCACCTGGCATGGTGCGGGATCAGACCTGTGAATACAAAAGGACCACCAGCACCACCAAGCCCTCGTCTGCGCCACTGTGGGTGAATGGCAATAACACCAGCCTGGAGGTGCAGGGTGAGAGAGACGGACAGGTCAGGCTCCCACTTGGCTCACCTTCCAGGGCGCTCGGGCCGCCTTCTGCCGTCTGCTCGTTCTCCTTGTTCTCCTGGTTTTCTGAGCTGCAGGCGCGGGAATCGAGCTGCTGCAGTATGGTGGGGCAGAACTCCTGGAACTCGCGCCGCCCGATGTGCGACTGCTCGCTGAAGTTGTGGGCAGCAAAGAGGTCCCCGGAACTGAAACACTGCAGTGAGATGAGGGGTGCGGGGCAGAAGGCCTCTTAGAACCCAGAACGGGCACCTGCCTGCCTGCCTGCCTGCCAAACGGGGTCCCTAGCGCACACGGCCTCTCTTTCTGGAGAGGCAGGAAGGGGAACAGCTGTGAGGTAAGACGCAGGAAACCAAGCATGCCCATCTGTAACTGCTGCCCGAGAAGTGTCCAGCCTGAAATCCCGGCCCCCACGACCCAGGTGGGCTTCGGTAAGACTCTGTTATCTGGGGGCTGGTGCCTTAGTGTAGCTAAGCCTCCGCCTGTTGACACTGGCATCCCACCCAGGCGCTGGTTTGAGTCCTGGATGCTCCACTTCCCATCAGCTCCCTGTTAATGTCCTGGGAAATCAGTACAGGATGGCTCAAGTCCTTGGGACCCCGCACCTGTGTGGGAGACCCAGCCCTCTCTCCAACCCACAGCTTTGCGGCCACTTAGGGAGTGAACCAGTGGATAGAAGGTCTCTTCACTGTCTCTCCTTACTGAAAAAAAGAAAGCAGCTCTACCTGCATCCCTTAGAAATCTCCTTCCCTGCAACCTTAAGCTAGCTGCACACCAGCCCAGAGTGCCTTTCCATGACAATACAGATTCCAGATGTTTCTCCCCTGGCACGCATGGGGTGGGGCTCCTCAAAAACTCGGCTGCTACCCCATCGCGCTAACACACAACGCAGTGGGGACCATCTGCCTCCCTGACCGTCCAGGACTATCCTTGGCCTGAAGGATACACTGGCAGGGACGAGGGCTGGATAACCCACACAGCCGTGGAGTGGGCCCTGGCACGCGCAGAGGCCAGCCTTCGCGGGCTCAATGCACTTGTCACCATGGGAGGCAGCTGGGGTGGCAGGGGTCCTGGCTCTCACATGCCGTTATGCCGACTGGAATTGATCTACACACACAGTGCGCCTCTCTCCATTTGGTTGCACCCTGTGTCAGCCTCTTATTTTAAGAGTCAGCCCTCTAGATGTGCCCACATTCAGTCTGCGTGCCCACAACACTGACGGCTGCCCTTTTGCACCCCACTCTGCCTCCAGATGTCAGGGCAGATCCTGAACCCCACTGGCCGCAGCTTCCAGGACCGGGCTGCATCTTCCCCACCACCATTCCCCTGTCTTCTTCAGACATACCCCGAGCCCGGGTCCTGTCCTGGGCATCCGCCATATTCTCACAGTTGTACATCCATGCCACGGGGTCACCTGACCCACACTGGCTGCCCTTCAAGGCACCTCATCCTCGAACCAGCCCTGCAGATCGCACCATGTCCTCACCCCCTCCACAGGTTCTGCCACCTGCTGACCTGGCTCTCTTTGGACAAGTATCCTTAGGACTCACACTGCAGGATCCACGGCTTTCTCTCCTGGAAGACGAAAGCTCAAACCTCCCCAGGGTTTGAGGGGCGCTCGACTCCCCAGACTCCTGAAGTCCCTGTCCTGTTTTCCAAAGTCTGAGGTCAAAGATTTACCACGCGAGGCTCCATCTAAAGGGACGGGGCCTATGGGAGGTGAGGGGATTGGAGGACAATGCTGGGTGGCGCCCCACGAGCACATGGGGCGGTGGTGCCCTTCTACAGGGAGACTGTGGGGAGGGCAGCTACAGCCTACCCGATCCTCCCTCTGCACAAGGGTCGTCAGCTGCGGCCGTGCCACACCTTCCTTGGTAGGGAGCTCCTCTTAAGAACTGGCTGATCTACACCTGCCCCTGCCTGAGGCTCACGGTGACTTGGGATGGATGTGTTATGAGAGCTACTCTATCATCTAACAGCTTCTCCATGTCATCCTAGCACAGCCGAGAACCCCACCAGACACTGGATGCCCCACTTCATCAACCCCCCACCCCAGACCCAAGAGGCCACAACTGCCCCCAGAAAGAGCTCTACCGTGGAGAGGTTCCTGGGGCCTGACACAGGCTGGCTGACGTTCTCCCGGTCCATGACCACATCCAGGTGGTTCAGCAGGGTTTTCAGCTGCCGCAGGGTGAGGCTGTCACCTTCGCCATAGCGACGCATGAGGTCCCCCAGGAAGGAGGCAGCGCTGAGGCTTGGCGTGGCCGTGGACGCAGCGTAAGCCTCAGGAGCGGCCCTCCACAAGCCCAGCAGGATCAACAGGAAGCAACCGGGGAGGGCTGAGTGCAGCAGCTTCATGGTGGCCACAGGCACCTGCAAGGACACATGGTGGAGATGAGGCCACTGCCAGGCGGATCTGCCCCGGAGCCTCTGCTCCGAGCACCAAGGCTCTCTCTCTTGGCATGAATTCATTCCCTCCTCCTTCTGCCTCAACAACATGAAGATGAAAGATTCGGCATTGTGGTATCCCATACAGGTGCCAGTTTGAGCCCTGGCTGCTTTGTTTACAATCCAGCCCCCTGCTAGTGCCTGGAAAAGCAACAGAAGATGGTCCGATGACTGTGCCCCTGCCCTACTCTAGCTGCAGTCAACCACCTGTGATGCACTAGACTTGGGCAAGTATTACACTACTGGGAGGAAAACAGCTAAGAGCTGGCAGGCATCCTGGGCCTCGTTGATAGGCTGGCAGCCCTCAGACAGGGTCTGGGGACCCGCGCATGAGTGTATGTGGGCCCTGGGTAGGCAAGTAGGGCCCCAGTTGGCATGGCATACCACTGAAGGACCAGACTTGGGAATCTGCATGCTCGCGGGCGTGGGGGGCTGTGTATTGCTCAGGGAAGGGGGTCTGAGGCTGGATGTGTGGGATGGGACTGCTGGGGGAGAACGTGACAGTTGAGGAGGGACTTCCAGCAACCAGGCTACTGCACTTGCAGGTAAACAAAGGGGCTGAGACTGGGCGGGTTAGAGGAGAGCAACGAGAGGGCCTTTAAGAACCAAACCAGTACACCTGCCCACGTGGGAGACCTGAGCTGGGATTGTTGGTATCAATCACTGTCTACTAGGGCAAACAAAAGCCATGGATGGGGGCCTGCAGTGAGTTGGGGCAGGGTGTGGACCATACTGGGCTGGGCCATGACATTAACCAGTTTATGAGCAAACCGATCTAGAAGCAGACTGTGGGACTGCCAGATTAGTTGATTTGCATGAGGGCTGGCGTGGTGACAGGCTAAGCTAGGCAGGACCATGGAGCTCACCAACATTCTTGGGTACTGGAGTTAGAAATAGGCTGGGCTGGTCCAGGCTGTAGCACCCACAGGTGTGCTCAACATTTGGGTGTGAGGTAGACCAGGCCACAACTGAGGGGCAGACTGTGCTGGGTAAGGGCCTAGAACCTGCTGGCACGTGCAAGATCTGCTTCTGAGAGTGGACCTGGTGGGGTAACAGGGCATCCCACCCAGCACAGGCACACTGGCATGCACGGGAGCCAGGATGGGGCAGGCCATGCCAGGCTAGGCTAGGTTTTACTATCACACCTGATTTGCACGGAAGCTAGGGATGGGACATGCTGGGCAGGGCTAGGCTGCAGCACCCATCAACAAGAATTGGGACTGGGGGCAGGCCAGGCTAGACCAAGCTGGGTGATGGGTTATGCCAGGCTGGGTCATAACAACCACTGGCACACACAAGATCTGTAGCTGGGAGCAAGCCTTGTTGGGGAACTAAAGGGATGCCACAGCTGGGCTGCTGTTCCCACAAGTGAGTGTGAGGGCTGGAATGGGGGTAACGAACTGGGCTGAAAATGACTGCAGTATCCCCTGGCATGGGTGTGGACTAGGTCTGAGGTGTGCCAAACTGGGCTAGGCTCCAGCACCTTCTGGTGCTTGCAAGAGCCACAGAGGGTGTGGGACAGGCTGGGCTAGGTCTCTGTACCCAATGAACCATACAAGATCTGGGGCTAAGGGTAGACCAGGCAAGGCTGGGTTGTAGCACCCAACAGTAAGAGCCAGAATGGGTGTGGGCTGGTCGGACAAGGCCTCAGTATCTGCCAGGACAGGAGGTGGGCCATGTCAGGTTAGGCTAACAACCACTGGTGTGTGCGGATTGCCACTGGGAGGTGACCTGATGCAAGAGCTTGGGGAACTCTTTTGTCAGGATGCAGTCCCTACAGGTGAGTTCAAGAACCAAGCTCGGGAGCGGTCCAGACCAAGACAGGTTTCAGCACCCGCCAACGTACACGTGGGTCAAATCCAGGGGCGGGCCAGGCTGGCCCAGTCATAGCACCTACTAGCAGATGTGAGACAGGACAGACAGGGACCCTGCCACACAAGAGGGAGACCCGGAAGGAGCTCCAGGTTCCTGGTTCCTGGCTTGGATCTGGCCTGTGTCAGGCCATGTTGGCCATTTGGGGAGTGAACCAGCAGAGGAAAGATCTCAGTATCTCTCCCTCTCTTACTGGTTCAACTGTCAGGTTGAAATGGTGACTGTTGTTAACCCCAGGTCTGAGGCACGCAGGCCACGTGGCTTTGGGACCTGCATGGACACTGCAGAAGTCAAAGTCCATGGCCTGTGATGGGACAGGCCGAGTCACACACACAGTGCCCTCCTCCCCAGCAAACGGCGGAGTGAAAGTTGGCTGACCAGGCTGGCTCGATCAGACTGCATCGTGGGCAATGCCGCCTGAAAGCTGCTGCACATACAGAGCAGGGAGACACCTGACCCGGTCACGAGTGTCACAGACAGATGATGAGCTGTCCAAACAAGGGAGAGGAGTTCCGGCCTGCATGGATCTGGAAAAGTTGAGGCCACAAGGGCACACACTCACAGCTTGATTCCATTAGGCCAAGGAGAGAAACTTCATCAACCTTTCTCTGTAATTCTGCTTTACAATAAATTAAAAAAAAAAATGGGGGGGCTAAAGATTTATTTTCATTGAAAAGGCAGATTTACAGAGAGAAGGAGAAACAGAAAGATCTTCCATCTGCTGATTCACTCCCCAAATGGCTGCAATGGCCAGAGCTGAGCTGATCCGAAGCCAGGAGCCAGGAGCTTCTTCTGGGTCTCGCATGCGAATGCAGAGTCCCAAGGCTTTGGGCTGTCATCTACTGCTTATCCCAGGCCACTAGCAGGGAGCTGGATCACAAGCGGAGCGGCTGGGACATGAATCAGTGTCCGTATGGGATACTGGCACGTGGACATGGAGGTTTATCCAGCTGAGCCATCACACCTGCCCCTAAATATATTTTTTTAAATACTCAAAATGAATAAATGAAATGACATAGGCAGGGCATGAGACAGAATTATGCATTGTTGAAGCAACTCTCTCTGCTTACAGCTCCTGGGTTCCTTGATGTAGCTGCTGTGACAGCACGGAGCATGAGGAAGAGAAGCCTTCCCAGGGGACCTCCAGGCCCTGCTCTAGCCCCTGGCACAGCTGTCCGCTGTCCTCTAGGGATGCAAGCCCCTGGCTGCAGGGAGACCCAAACACAGGTTCTGGGTTTCAGGGTGCAGGTCAGGCCAGCCCGTGGGGAGCGCAGTCTCTCCCAGCCTGGTCCCTTGAGAGGTGACCGCAACCCGCCAAGGGCCCAGGCAGAGTGTGCAAATGGCCACAAGGACGCCTCAGAAGTCCCAGTCCAGTGAGCGGTCACAGAGCTGCTGGCCACAACGGCAGCCCAAGAGTAACTGCTTTTGGGCAGATAAGAAAGCCAAGTTCTCTTCTGCGATGGAGCGCGTCGTGTGTGTGTGTGTGTGTGTGTGTGTGTGTGTGTGTGTGTGTGTCTCTCTCTCTCTCTCTCTCTCCCCATCCAGCCCCCAGGGGAGCGGGAGCTAGCAGTCTCCTGCAGATCCAGAAAAGACCCTGCCCAGGACTAGCCAAGCAGCAGGTGAAGAGGCAGGGCTGGGAGAGATGGCAAGAGCTCCATGTGCCAGGCTCTTCCTGCTCCAACCCCCGCTGCCCCCACCTCTGATCACCTGCTCCCTTGCTCAGCAACCATGAGGTACAACCATTTCAGTGGCTGGGGTCCAACTCAAAGGCACCAGGGCCAGTCCTCCAGGGAGGGAAAAGAGACACAGCGAGAAGTCAGCAAAAATCCCGTATGTCTCCACGCAAGCTTAAGAGTGCCCTTGTCACCCCAAAGGCTCCACACAGGAATGCTACCTTCTGTCCCCCCTCCAATAAACACAGAAACCCGACCACGAGAGCGGATCATGTAGCAGCTGAGAGGTCTGCAGAGTACTTGGGTTCGACTCCTGCCTTGGGCTCAATTCCAGCTCCCTGCTCATGCAAATCCCCGAGAGGCAGGGGTGATGGCCAGCCATGGGGGAGCCCTGGATGGCAGCCCTTGCTTGGGCGCTGGCCACCACTACGGGCATTAGGGAAGCGAACCAGGAGATGGGAGGGCTCAGTCTCCAGCTCTCAAAATCATAATACAATCGTAAGGATTCATTTTCTTTTTATTTGAAAGACAGATTTACAGAGAGAAGGCAAGGCACAGAGAGAAGATCTTCCATCTGCTGGTTCACTCCCTAAATGGATATAAAGGCCAGAGCTGGGCCCGCCCAAAGCCAGGAGTTTCTTCCTGGTTTCCCACATGGGTGCAGGGGCCCAGGGACTCGAATCATCTTCCACCGCTCTCCCTAGCACATTAGCAGGGAGCTGGATAAGAAGCAGAACAGCCGAGACTCAAACCTACACCCATATGAGATGCCAGTGTGGCAGGTAGCAGTTTAACTAGGCTGCTGTACCCCAACGCTGGCTCTGGTTGGTTTTTGCAGTTTGAAAAGAGGAAGTGGGACCGGCACCGTGCCCACAGTGGGTAAAGCTACCGTCTGCAGTGTCAGCACCCCATAGAGGTGCCAGTTCCATTCCTGGCTGCTCCACTTCTGATCCAGCCCTCTAATGCACCTGAGGACGATGGCCTAAGTACTCGGGCCCATGCCACCTGCATGGGAGACCCAGATGGAGTTTCAGGTTCCAGACTTAGGCCTGGTCCACACCAGCCACGACAGCAATTTGTGGAGCGAATCAGCCGATGAAAGCCTTCTCACTGGTAAAGTTACCTTTCAAATAAAAACATTTTTAAAATTATTTTTATTGGAAAGGAGGAGACACAGAGAGGAAGATCTTCCACCTGCTGATTCACTCCCCAAGAGGCCACAAAGGCTAGAGCTGAGCTGATCTGAAGCCAGGAGCCCAGAGCTTTTTCCGGGTCTCTCACATGGCTGCAGGGTCCCAAGGCTCTGGGCGGTCCTCAACTGCTTTCCCCAGCCACAAGCATGAAGCTAAATGGGAAGTGGGGCCATTGGGATTAGAACCG